GATCAATACTCTGAGGCCAGGTGGATAACTTGGTGGTTTTGGCCCTGGTAAAAGTGAAATCCATGGAGTTGGGCAGTGAAAATACCTTTTCAGCTAGGATTGATCAGAACAACATGTGCTGGCCACAATTTTTTTGGTATTAGGCAGGATTAGGATAACTCCAAAGAAGCAGGTCTCAGAGGCACAGCAGGGCAGTCCAGAGAGCTCTGCTCAAATCCCCACCTGAGTTCAGATCCTGCCATCTCACTCCGGTCCATGCTGAACAGGCACTAAAGATCAGGAAATCCTTGATCTTCAGCAAGGAACCCACCCTGCCTCGATGACCAAAAATGTCACTGAGGAACCTGTCCTATCTTCCTAGAGCTTCAGTATCATTAAACACTGCTCTTCAGTAAGCACCTACAATCTTGTCATGTTTTGGAAGCTACTTTGTCAGCTCTGTATTCTGAGTAGATTATTAGGAAATTAGGGAATAAACAATTACTGGTCATTGTTTCACTTGGGTTTCTCTTTGGCAATTGGCAGCTTCAGGAACAGTATGCACTTTTCCTGGTGTTTCCTCACTGCTTCTGTTATGCCTATTTTGCTTCCAAGAGAGTAAATTTGAAATTTTACGAGTAGGGATGGCCTGATTTCATGATAATAGTTAATAGGTATTGTTTTTTATACACCCACCATGCACATTATATACAGGTAAATAATGTCATTTATCATCCTGTGATCCATTCTGAGAAAAATGTGCCCTCCTGGATAAGAGAATTGAAGACTCTTTGGGGAGAGGTACAGTGAAGACAGAATGGTCTGGGCATGGTACCAAGGAGTCTAAACAGAGACTTAACACTATGGTCCCAAGTGAATTGATTTGGAATCCTATCTACATCGGATATCTGATTAACAAATGAGAGAAAGGATGGTGAAGTAACAACTAAATTGATTCAGGGTTTGTCCTGAACAGGAAAGACATCTATTTCCATTCTGACCTTCTGAAATACAGTATACTGTTACGAAGGATCATTAACATAAAAAAGGCAAAAATACACATTTCTATATTCAAGCAGGTGGTGGGCCAGGGAGCCTAAATGTATACAGGTATGTTATATTTCTGGTTCAAAGAGTTTTAGTAGCACAGGACTTTGGATGGGGGCTTGGCTCCATTCTGACATGGGATGATTAGCTGTAAGAGCCAGAAATGAGTAAAAAAATGGATTAAAATTGTTAAATTCCTAATTTTAAAGCACCTTTACTTCTTTCCTCATTCCTTATTTATGGTCCTCATCCTCAGTTCATTCCTCATTTCTGAGGGATTTGGGGTTCCATGTTATCTCACTAGCTGCTCCTTTCTGGATTAGTGCTCAGAAACTGAGGCATTTTAGCAACAGGGGCCAGCTTCTTGATACAGAAAGTAAAAATACCATTAAAAATTGGTAAGCAGGATGCAAGAGGGAGTCAAAGTCAGAAGATAATCAGCTAAAGAGAGTAGGTAGCATGCTCTCTGTGTGTGTATCTCTGTCCCTCTCTGTCCTCTTCTGTCTCTGTCTCTGTCTCTGTCTGTCTCTGTTTCTCTGTCTCACACAAACATTCTCTCTCTCTCTCCCTCCCCTTCTCTCTGTCTTTCTCTCCTCTCTGCTGTCCCTCCTCCATAGCTACATCTGTAACACAGGGTTTTGGGTTTGGGAGAGATGGTTGTTGTTGGTTGGTTTCTTTGTTGTTGCTTTTGTTTCTTACATTTAGAATCCTTATAAAATGCATGAGTTACACGTAGTAGAAAGACATTTGCTATCAATTATACATAAAGATGATAGATAAATGAATAAATGAACCAAGAAATGAATTCTTGACTCTGCTTAGATTTTATAGTGTTGGTCCAGTGATTCTATTCTTTTATTTTGGAAATGCTCTTTCCTTATCTCTGAAAGATTTCTCAGAGGGCATCAACAAATAATCAACATGTGATTTTGGTTTGGGTTGTCCCTCTTTGCCTGCATAGTCTTGTCCCAATTATCTGCCCCTATTGGTGGGGATGTGAAAAGATCATTAGAAGTCAGTGTTAATACCCTTCTAGCCATATGTGAGTAAAAAAAAGATTGCTCTTAATTTGCATTTCCCTGGGACTCCATTATTAATTGCAAATTTTAAAACATAGAAAGCATTGAATACTGTATTCTAAAGATAAACAAAGACAAATATACTCCTCATTGGCTGGCAACATAGGCAAAATGTATGTTAACTTTTGCAGACTTGTATTTTAGCTTATCAACAAATTTAATTGGACCCATTTGTCAGAGATATATTTAGGTTGAAATGTCAGTGATAGGAAAAAGGAACATAGCAATGTAAATGTATCAGATTCATCCACAGACAGTTAAAGCCAAATTATAAGAGTGGAAAACTGAAACAAGTCAAAATCATCTGACTAACCAGTAAGAACTATGTTTCCAAATTTTATGTCTTGATTCAATTTTTTGGCATAACAGCATCTTGTTTTCTAGATAATTTCTTTTTTCCTTTTTTATGTTAATTTACAGACTGACAGATTTTAGTATCTACATTCCAGGTAGGGCTGATTTTAAAAACGATCCTCCAAGAAATCTTGCATAATTTGTTATCTTTTTTTTCTTTGTCTTTCTGAGACTAGATCCCCTGCAGTTCAGGCTGGCCTTGTGCTCACACTGTACCCCAACTTGGTGTCGAACTCACAACAATCTTCCTGCCTCAGTCTCCCAAGTGCTGGGATTACAGGCATACACCACCATGCCCAGCTATAATCTGTCATTTTATTCAAGACAACAGAAAAGAAGCAAACAGTGGAAAGCCTGAATCTTCCTGTCACACAAAACAAAAATATTTTAGTTTAAGCACATTTCTTTCAAGAAGCATCTATGCAGATCTTCTTCACATTTTGTATTCCTCTCTGTGTTTTATGAAGTTTAGTTTTTCTGAATTGTTCATATATTGCAGGTATTATTATTCTGTCAGCAGATTGGCTATCAAAGATTTCCTCCCATTTGTCTGTTCACTCTGGTAGTTGTTTCTTTGCCAAACATCTTTCAATTTGCTACAATACCATTCTTTTAATCTTTTGAAAATATTTTCTGTGAGTTGGAAATATTCGGGAAGTCTTGGTTTGTATCTATGGGTTAAAGTGTTTACTCTGTGTTTCTTCCACCTACTTTCATTCTTTCAGCTTTTTGTTTTTTTTTATTTTAAGGATAGTAAAACACAACAAAACAGACAGAACAAAACAAATCAGGATAATGCAGTGAAATTGCTACAGAACTTCAGAGCAGGATCCTGGGATAACAATAATAGGTACCATAATATATCTTCTGTCTATCTGGCTCTCAGTTCAATTAGATACAGTAAAATCAAACAAACACAGAACATTAAAAAGCAATCACAACAGAATATTGAAAAGAGAAAAACAATTATTCAGAATAAAGCAAAACTGTGAAAATAATATCGGTCTTCAAAAACAAGTTAGAAGGAAATCTCCCATATTTGCTGTTGCATAGGGTCATCCTCCCAAGAGATGCTCAGACCTCTGGCTCCAGGTCACAGCATAACCAAACAAACAATACAAGCATTTAGTTGCTTTATGCACCTTAGATGCTATCAACTCCAGCCTACCTCAAAACCATCCAGTTACTAATGGGGATGGGGTTTTAGGGAGCTTTGGGGGGTTGGGAGGGTATGGAACATGGGAGACACTGACTTTTTCTCTCCCTGGCTCACCCGTGGCTCGCTAGCACTACTTACCAGGAAGGTTGGCTCATTGATTTCTTCAACTGTCCTCCAACTTTCAGCATGGCTGATTCTTGGGAGACACTGACTTATTCTCTCTCCCTGGAGCACCCGTGGCTCACTCACACCCTGCTTTGAGTTTTGTACCCTCATTTTGTTCTTTATTGATTGATTTTAGCACAGAATGAGATAAAGAAATATACTTTCAAATTTTTGCTTGTGACTCTCCAGTTATCCTAGAACTACTCATTAAAGAGACTGTCCTTTCCCCAGCATATATTTGCATTCCTCGTTAAAAATCAGATGGCTCTGTGTGTTTGACTTTGTTCCTGTGTGTTTTGTTTAATTCTGTTCTTATATATGTCAGTTCTTGCATCAGCACCATGATGTTTTTTTATTAGTATGGCTTACAGGCTGGTATCGTGATATCTCCAACATTGCTCTTTTCCTTCTGGGTTACATTAGTGATTCTGCATATTTTCTGATTCAAATAAAACTTAGTATTACTTTTCTAGATCTGTGAATATTCTTGTTTTTTAGTATATGCACATTACTCAGTGGCACTAAAATGGAATTTTAAATGCTCTGATCCATGAAGGAATAATTTTGTCATTTTAAGGAAATAAATTTTCAGTAATTGTCACAGTAACATAGCTGACAAAATCAGTATAATGAGATTTATCTCATATGAGTCAGTATAATGTGAGCAAAATGTCCTAGGGGCTTAAAGCAATGCATCACTTCTTACTAAGTTACATATTACTGCCCATTGGGAGTTCTGGGTACCACAATCTCATAGGTTCATAGAACAAATCCCATTCTGAACATCTCTGTGAAAGAGACAAACTAGTCCATCTATTCCCAGAGTGGAATGCATGTCCCATTGATGACACCTCCAATTCTGCTCAGACTCAGCTATCTAAAGAAATCTCATTAAGCTGTGCTGTGCTGGTTTGTGCCTAGTGTACTATGTGAAGAATAACAAATATTTGGTGAAAGATGAGATTATCTTAAGATTTTGAAGAAACCAGTGGCACTCAAATCACACTCTATCATGTTTTTCAACACCTGTGGCTATCAGTTTCTTCATAAAGAGCAACTCATTTGAGGGTTAAATGTGATAAAAAATGCGATGTGCTGAGCTGTAGTATGCACTCATAGCATGCACTCAGTCACTGAATTCTATACTGATTAACTTTAGAAAACACACCGGAACTATCAGGAAGAATGATAACTGCTCTGTGTTTTCCTGCCAACAGCCACTGAGAAGATTCTGCAAGTGATTCAGCCTGAGAAGCCAGTGGTGCTTACTGCAGGAGAGACCGCCACTCTGCACTGCACTGTGACCTCTCTGCTCCCTGTAGGACCCATCCTGTGGTTCAGGCATCAAGGACAAGACCGGGAATTAATCTATAATTTCAAAGGAGGACACTTCCCACGAGTCACAAATGTGGCAGATGTGACAAAGAGAAACTCCACGGACTTTTCAATAAAAATCTATAATATCACCCCTGCAGATGCAGGCACCTACTACTGTGTCAAGTTCCAGAAAACAGACTCTGAGGACAAGGAGTTCTTATCTGGAGGAGGCACCAAGATGATTGTGGGTCGTGAGTACAGTTTGGGCTTACCTCATTTCTTAATGTATGACTGTAGGTCAGAAATCATAACCTGCATTTTGTGAGCACCAGTGAACAAGCAGGCAGGATGGTGGGTGCTGCTGTTCATGATGTAATATCACTCAGCTATCAGGGCAGCCAAGACCTGCAGTATGATATTGGCTCAAGGCTCCACAGGAGTAAATAGGGAGCACCTGCAGTCAATGTCTAACTACTACGGAATGTTCTATTTTTCCACTCTACCCCTACCTTTGTTTCAACATAAGAGGACCATGAGAGTTTGAGAGAACAGCCCATACCAGGGACAGATCTCACCTACTTCTCTCACAATGAACTTCCTCTTGGAGTATGAGCCTTTCTTTATGCCATAGCACTGATGGTCTACTGTGTTTCAGGATCCTTTCTGCAGGCCAGGGAAACATAAGAGAGCTTCCCAGTTTGAGCTCATCTCCTATCAAGTTGGCATTCCTCTGCAGAGGTGCGAGGCTGCACTTATATTCATTTCCCTAAATAAAAATACTGAAAATATTCCTCACAGTCACAAGCTCCATTTTTATTTCCACACCATGGCTGGAGAAATGCCAAGATGTTGAACCTTTCCTAGGCCTGTATACCAAACCTTGTAGTATCAGCAACACCCTCACACAGGCACTGAGGACTGTGAGACTACCTGAGTGTTCTTTTCAGGAAAAGATATCCCATGAGACATAAGAAACCTTCATTGAGACAGCCAATTATGCTCACCTTGTGTTTCTGGCCCACAACCAACATTTTCTTTCTATGTCTAATTCTGGGACAAGTGACCTTCAGACCATCCAACATAATCTGCTTACAGATGTAAGTCTGAGGACCAGAAATATCCAATTAGTACAGGATCAGAAGCAAAAACCATATCTCAGTTCAGCTATGCTAAAAGCAACCCCAGCATAGTCATTGTGTCCATGCAGGGATCATGAATTATACCCTGCAGGTTCAGAACTGCAGATTAGAAACTGAATATTTCACCTTTCATCTATTTCCCAGCAGTTCAGAATTTTTCTCACATTCACACCTAAAGGCTGTTTATGATTGGAAAACTGCTCATGAATATCAATTTGATCATAATTTCATATTAGGATTCCATACTAAGATGTAGAGAGCTGCTCCATTTTTTTAACAGCTGAAAATTACTTCTTTAGATGATATTTCACAAAAATTTTCCATCATCTGTAGGTGGGTGTTTAAGTTGATCCCAGCCATGGCCCACTACAACAGTGCTGCAGAGGATGAACTTGAACAAACACCATCCCAAACAGGAGGAAAATTTCCTGTGAAGAGGTGGTTGGGTCAGAGAGAAAATGTGCTGTAATTCAGGTGGATGCTGCTAACTTTCCATCCCAGACGTAATAGCAGTCAGTAGCCCTCACAACCCCTGGACGTAGGCAAGGTTTTGGCTTCACCCCATCTTCCCTTGCAAAGAAAGATTCAGGAGTTCCAACATGGTGCCTCCTATTCCTAGGTAATCACAGTCCACAAGTCTCTTAGGCTGACTCAGTCTTCAGACTCCTGATTTGGCACTTGTTCCTCTGTGTCATGCCATTGCTCCAACTTAAGCTGCATAAGAAAATTGGAAGACTGAACAGAGTGGCTGCATTATAGATGCTGCCTCTTAGTCATGGAAATTTCTCCTTGAACCAAGACTGTACGAGAGTTTTGTTACATCATTGAAGACTAGGACACTGCAGCTGACAGGGAGCCTTGACTTGTGACTTGGTGAGACAGGCAAGGTGTTGTCTTCACATCCTCAATCACAGCCTTACTCTCTGCAGTACCACTGTGCTTACATCAGTGAACGACATTGCTCCAGCCCTCTCTGAAAACCTTGTGATTTTTCTGTGCTCCAGCAACAGGCATTAAAACCACAATAGATCTAAAAATATTTCTGTGGATGAGACAGTGCTGGATTGATATCCATAGAAGAGGAAGGTCCTCTTCTCATCTCAAAATGTGTCCCTCCTTAGGGACACATCTCAGTGCCTGTGGGGAATCCAGGATGTTCCTCTCATTGAGATGTGGCCCTTCCACTGAGCAGTGGACATAAAGCAGGAGAAGCAGCAGCCAGAGGAAGTCTGGAGCTTCTGGAAGCAGAGTTCTTTTATTTCCTCCTGTTGGCAGGACTGCATGAGGGGTGTTTACATCAGAATTCTTGAAGAAAAATGTAAGAAGTGAAGTGGTAGTAAGTTCTTGGAGGGTTCAAAATAGAACTAGAACATCAGTTCTAGCAAAACAGTACAAAGCATGAAACTGTTTATGCTTAAGAAATACTCATTAAGACACAGTGAGTGGTGGACAAAATATGGTCTATATGTTTCTCTCAGCCTCAGTTTTGTTATCTATGATATGATGGAAATCAAGGATTTCTTCTAAGAAGGGAAAAGGCTTTGAAGAACTCTCTGCAAATATCCTGATCCTGAGTCGGCACCAATAGGTCAAAATAGTATCACAAAGTTATGCAGTCTTGAGTAACCTAGTACCCCTCAATGAGTCTCAGTTTCCTCATCTGTAGAATGGTGGTGACTTAACAACAATTTCGGGTGTTAGGAGACTAAGGGGTGACTGTTGAAAAACAAACCTGAATACCTAATAGGATTGTCCTATGAGCTGTGCAGTCTTGGGTAGATTTGGCTTCCCTAAAATCAATTTGTCTCTATAGTTGTAGTCATAGTCCTGATTTAGGATTGTGTGAAGAGTAGAGAGATTATGCAGAAAGTCTTGGATTTGGGGTAGCCAGCATTGATACTCTGTATGAAACAAACTATACTAAGAAATCAGTGTGCATAACTTTATTGCTTGGCTCACATCTCATGGCTCACATCCCAGATCCTTCACATACCCTGTGCACAGTAAACCTTGGTTTCATCACCTATCCTTCAAAAAGTATGGCCAAGATAGAAGTGGAATCATATGTATTGCCTAGAGTAACTGATTTGCAGAAAACCTTTCATTAATGTTAGCTATTTCAGGCTTAAGCATGATCATATTGAAGTAAGATTTAAAAAGAAAAACTTGACTTTCTCCAAGCTTTTTTCTCTGTTTAGCTGTTGTTCTTTAATATAGATAAAAGCAATTACATTATAAGGAAAGTATTATAACCTCCAGTTCTCAAAAATCCTTGTTTTTGCCCAACTAAGGTGCCTGAGCACAGCTTCACCAACGGCCTTTTTCCCCTACCCCCAAGTTTCTTTTTTTTTTAATTTTATTCAAAGAAAAAAAATCAGTAAAAGGGTACAAGTAATACAGAATTTCAAAAAAGTAAGAAATCACTAGTTAATAGATTACATATTGTCATCTTACAAATAGTTGTTCAAGTTACAAAATTAAAGCATACAAAGTGGACATTCAAACAGTGAGACTGCAAACAGTTGTGTTCAATGATCCAACAAAAACTGAGTAATATGGTCATCTATCTTACACACATAAACACACTTGCATGTATTTACTTTAGAGCACTTTCTTTTCCTCTCTTTTTTACAGTAACATTTACAAATTTTGGGTTTTATTACTCCCACAGTTCTGATTACTTATTTGGAAAAGAATAAAACCAAAGGTGACAAAAACAGTCAGTCAAAACAAAGGATGGATATAATACATGATGTAAAAACAGAATACAAGGTAATCAACAATGCTTACCATATTGCCTCTTGCTACCTTAAAAAGAATTTCCTATATTATCAGGTATAATAAAATTGAACAAAACAGTACAGAATGAAACCAATAAAACTTAAACATTGGAGACATTACAGGACTTTAAAAGAAGATAATAGTCAAACCACAATGGGATTCATAGTGAATCTTATTGAATTCAAAGTAGTTGCCTAGCCAGCACAACACTTTTCTTCACCTGGGGGCCAGGCTCCGGCTTCATGTTGGGATAAGTAAGTCCAGAGGAGGCCGGGAACCCTGCCCCAGCCAGGATGAATGCTCTTCTTCACCTGGGGGCCGGGCTCCCGCTTTCTGTTGGGATGAGTAAGTCCAGCAGAGGCAGGGAACCACTCCCCACCCTAGAGGAACTCTTTTCTTTGCCTGGGGGCCCCACTCTGCCTTCCAGGTGGGAGGAGTAAGTCCAGTGGAGGCAGGGAACCCAGCCTCAGAGTCTCTTTCTTGCCTGGGGACCAGGGCTCGGCTTCCTGTCAAGATCAGTGAGTCAGGAGGGGGCAGAGAATTCCTTCCCAGCCAGGCTGACTTCTCTCCCTCACTTGGAACAACGCTTGAAGCTCAAAAATATAGGAAAATGACAAAACGAAAGACCAAAATGCAATCTCAAACATCCATCCCATCCCAAGGAAACCTAGGAGCCATGTGAGTAGAAGAAAATAAATGCCACATACCTGAAATAATAGTAACTGAAATAAAGAAGCAACTCTGGGAAGTCTTAAAGGAATTCAAACTAGAAATAATCTCTCAGGTAAAAGAAGAAATGATTAAAGAAATGAAGGAGATGCTGAATGTATCTAAAGAAGACACAGTTTAAAAAATTGGAGTAGCTAAACAAAAAAGATAGAATCCCTAGATGAACAATATAAGAAACAAACAATATATAAATCAGATGCAAAGAGATATACAGGAAATCAAAAACTCCATCAAAAGTTGTAAAAACCACCTCAATGAATGTGAAGACAGAATTTCAGATCTCAAAGACAAGATTGCAGCCAGTGAACAGGAAAGGAAAGCTCTTTTAAAAATAACAAGAAATCAGGAAATAAAAATTCAACACCTGCAAGATGACGCACAGAGGAACAACATAAGGTTCATAGGGATAAATGAAAAAGAAGGGGACAACATAAAGGATGTCAAGAGGATAGTTAGAGAAGTAATAGTTGAAAATTTCCCAAACATGAGATTGGAAACTGATATCAAGATCAATGAAGCACATAGAACTCCAAATAGCCATAACCAAAATAAAACTACACCCAGACACATAATAACGGCCATCCCAGAAATCAAACAAAAGA